AATAATAAATCATACAGTATTTGTCCGAAAGGGAGCAGGAGGAAGCAAACACAAAAATATACTGCATATTAAAGCAAACGATTGTAAAGGTTAAAGTATGAGCAATAAAAATATAAGGAAGTTATTATAATAATGATTATTTAATATATAAAGACTATATATTATTGAATTACAAGATTAGATATACTTTAGTTGATCTAAAATATTGATGTGTTCAAATGCTCTTCAAAACACAACTGAAAGTCCATGAAACTTGTCTTTCTGTATTTGTGAATGAAGCGCAATCTCCTGGTTAAAACCTGGAATTGAAAATCTGGCAACGCCCTCTTGGAAAATAGTGGGAGGGCTTAACATTCCTCTAGTCTGTTCCCTTTTTGTTCATAGTAAAATATGTTTTAGTTTTTATCAATGCAACTTGTAGAAAGAACAAAACCTTGATAATGCAAAGTTCTGTTTATGAAAATTAAAACTCACAAGATAGGATAATATCCACATTATTGTGGATTATTACTCAGTTACTATAAATTCTCTCAGCCAGCAATCGTCTTATACCAACTTTGGCCCACCACCATCATTCTACTTTGTCAATTCATTTCTGATCATGTCATGCATTTCATTAAAAAATGTCTTATCAATGACAGAACATATTTATTTCATGAATCCAATTGGACTTACCATACGCTGATTTCTTCATTTTGTGATAGAGGAATTCCACTTGTAGTTGCGCCTGTTCCGGCATAAAAAAAACCTTACAGGCATTGTTATTTTCAGAAACAATATTCTGGTTATTCTGGGTAGTTCACAAACTGGTGGACAATATACAGTCCTAATGGGATAACATATTTATCTCAATAACACTTGTATGTTAGACTATCAGCCAACCATGTTTATTTGTGAATGTATAAATTAACAATGTTCAAATATCTAAATAGTCTGTGGTTTATTCATAGCGAAATACAATATTAGAAAGTTTCCTAAGGGTATATGTGTGCATTCATTGTTTTAGATATAAATATGACCATAGTGTATTATATAAACAGCAAAAAGTGGGTTCAGTTAAATACATTTGAATGCGTAACTTATGCATTAAATATGTCTTAAATATACGGAATATGTTGAATAGTTAAACATAACAAATTATATTGTTTTCATAATAAAAGGTTGGCTTTGTTTCAGGTTACTACATTTCTCTTCTTTACAGTATTCTCTCCTCCCATTGCCAAACATGCTACACTTACCTGAAGTTGTTGTATCTTTAATTGCAGTTGATCCTATTGTTGCTTGAAGTCATATCATATCTTGTGTTACAGCATACTGTCCAAATTCAAAGTGAAGCAGTGTGGTATGTCAGATCCCCATGCCTGAACGTTAAACATGTTCAGATATCAATAAACTGTTTTGATTAATCTAAGTTGTTGGTTCTAGGGAACCTTAATACGTTTTATTATGTGCATTGTTATAAATCTCATAACCAGTCGCATTTATCATCTGTTAGATCTACTCACCAGAAAGGAATATCTTGTTTTGCCACATCTGAAGCCGCAGCTCAAAAATGAATTCACAGCATTCAAGGCTTAGTATGCCAACAACTAAGGGGCTGGGCCAACAACCTGGCAACAGAAACTATTGGTGGATGAAAACAAGTGAAATAGTATGACAACTTATGGGAAACCAGGGGACTTTCCGTTGTTTCCTTTTTCGGAACTTTGCTGAAGAGTGGAATAGGTGTGGTTGAGAAACGTGTCTCTTTCTCCTTGAATTGAATTAACCATGCATATCCAGGAAAAATCTGAAAATACTCACATGGCAGGGAAGTGTAGCTGGGGACAGGTATAGAGGACAAATATATGGTACACATTAAAGATACCATATTGGCTCCTGTTAAATAACTCTGACCAGTCCCTGAAGACCTGAGAGATATGGATGGTTCATAATTTATCAGAAGATCAGAAATGTATTTTGGGCCTAAACCATTCAAAGCTTTATAAACCAGCAGCAATATTTGGAAATCAATTATTTGACACACAGGAAGCCAGTGTAAAGACTTCAGAACAGGAGTGATGTGATCCACTTTCTTAGTGTCAGTGAGGACTGAATTAGCTTCAGCTTTCTAATAGATTTTTTAGTGAGAACTGTTAAGACACCATTGCAGTAGTCAATTCTACTGAAGATAAAAGCATGGACAAGTTTTTCCAAATCCTGCTGTGACATTAGTCTTTTAATCCTAGATATGTTCTTTAGGTGATAGTAGGCTGATTATTTCAATTAGTAATTGTTTTAATGTGACTGTTGAAACTCAGGTCAGAGTCCATGACTGCACCTAGATTTCTGGCTCTATCTGTTGTTTTGAACATTGCAGACTGAAGCTCGGCGCAAACCAATACCTCAGTTTTATCTTTGTTTAATTGGAGAATGTTCTGACACATCCAGTCATTGATTTGTGCACTTGCTCCAGTCATTGATTTGTGCACTTACTCAGTGTCTGAATTGGAGCATAGTCTCCTGGTGAAATGGTTACGTAAATGTGTGTGTCATCCGCATAGCTATGGTAACTTATTTTGTAGTTTTTCAATATCTGAGTCAGTGGTAACATGTAGATGTTGAAAAGAGAAGAGGCCCCAAGATGGAGCCTTGAGGTACCCCACATGTCATATTTGTGAACTCAGATGTGTATTTACCTATAGAAAAAAAGTTTTTTTCTGTCCTTTAAAGGTGACCTATCATGCAAAATGCACTTTTGTACGTCTTTTATACATGAATATGTGTCCCCGGTGTTCCAGGGAACTCACCAAGTGTCAGAAAACACAACCCTCTCTATTTTCCTCCATACCCAAATCTCTTAAAAAGGGGATGCAACGGATCTGATACAGACTGATCCAGATTTGAACACTTCTATGACGTCACAGAAGTGGCGCTACGGCTATTGGGCCAACTCCACCAATCAGGAGGAGACAGCCACGGACATTGCCGTTCGAAAGCGCTGGAGACGCTGTAGTACATATGCCAGGCCTGTAGATGGTGCTGTTCTCACAGAATCAGCCCATGAAAAGACAGTGTTAAATGTGTGCCAATGAGGAATGGCTAAAATGCATGATCTGTTTGGTATTTTGAAAAATAAAAAGTATAAATATGCCTTATATAGGTATGGTCCTACACTATATTATTCAAATATAGCATGATAGGTCCACTTTAAGTAGGATTCAAACCAATTTAGAACTGTTTCAGAAACAACTGCTTTCCTGGAAAAATATTTGATGCTATCACACATCCGACAATGTCACTCAGCTCCTTAGATCTCCTAGCAAAAAAACAAACAAACGGGAGAAAGAAAATCTTATCCCCACTGCTTTAAAGCAGACCTTTTGACCAAAGAAGGCATTGGATAAAATACTACCTGAGACCCCCGCAGGATTGCGTCTTTAAACGTGCGTTAAATGCTGTTTCACTGATTGATTACGATTCTGGTTGACCTAAAATGTATTAAAGATTAAAAAAAGATATTCGTAATACTCAATCTTTTCATCTCTCGACACACACTATGTATACAATCACAGACATTTTATATTTAAAAAATGTAGTCAGTTGTTAGTGATCTTTAATATAAAAGTGTAAAAAACTAGTGTAGAATCCACTGTCAAAAGGTTGGTGTTACAAACAAGTCCACTGCACTTCACAGCTATGAGTGTAAGTAAGAAAACAGAAGACACGGCATGGCAGTATGTTCATATACCCGGCATGCACTTAAAGACAATAAACCTTTATAATGAAATACAGTATGACACCTAAAAAAAACCTTTGTTTTTACCCAAAAAATAGGCAACAGTGGCAGCGGATATTAAAAAATAAGTGCAGCAAATGTAATCCAATTATTCAACAAGTAAGCTGCAGCTCTGCCACATTTATGTACAGCACATTAGTAAGTATTCAATCATTACCCTCTGTAAATGTAATAAGAAATAATTTTCAAATATTGTGTGGTCAAATCCGAACAACATCATAGTACTTTGTAAAACATGCTTATAGATGTTTGTGTATCAGCTCTTGGAAAACAATTCAAACATTTATGAAACATTTTCCCTGATGGTAAAGCGTGTACAGGTAACAAAACAGTATATTTGCATTTAAATAATATTCATAATACATTTTATTTATAAAGGCGCCTTTCATGACTCTCAAGGTCGCCGTACACAAAACACAAAAAACAAAATAGCACAAAAACAACGCAACATGATCAATAAAAAAACACATTGTGCGGAGAATCCACATTATAAATGACTAAATAAGGGATGTATACTTTCACATATTGAAGTGAAAGCAGTAAGAACTGTCTGTTATTATAAACATGACTGAACAAAAGAATAACACAAAAATATTTACTGTGAGCTTGGATATTTGCTAACTGTAATTATTGTGTAAAAAAAAGACATTCCTAGTGTAACAAAAAAATATATATGTGATCTTGATGCATCCATTTTCAGCTACAGGCAAGGTTGTTGATGGCTTTGCTGTGAGTAATATTTCAATCCTGTATATCAGGGGTATTCAATTAAATTTCAACGAGGTCCAGTTAGAGAAAATCTCCCCATGCAAAGGTCCGGAACATCAAAATGTCTAACTTGCTTTATGAATTAGTGTGATATATATTGAAGTAGCCTGTAGCTTTATCAACGTTTGCATGTAATCAACAACTGACTGCCAATCAAGTAAAGAAAGTACAATTCAAAAACAAGAATATGTATTGTCAATTAACATTGAACTATACAGATATACAGTCAAATACTGTGGATATGCAACAGTCTTCCTCACTGTCCTCCTCAGTGTCTCCTTCACTGTCCTCTATTTACACTTCTCGCATGGTAGATGGTGAAGATGCTGCAGATGCACCTCTCTGTCCCTATTTAAGCCTCCCTTATTTACTTTCTCCAAAACTTGTTGCCAAAACTGTGAAGTTAAGTTGAAGGATCAAATACTAAGAAATTATCACATGACTTGAAGTCATATCTGATTTCACATGTGGGAAGTAACTAAGTTATTCAAGTACTGTACTTAGCTACAATTTTGAGATTCTTGTACTTTACTTGAGTATTTCTATGTTATGCTACTTTGTACTTCTACCCCACTACAGTTCAGAGGTAAAATGTGTACTTTTACTCCCCTACATGTATTTAATACCTTTAGTTACATTACAGATGTGGATGAATGATGTGAAATATAATCAAGTCTTGACTCAGACTTTAGTTCCACCTGGAGTAAATTCACAAGCTACCCTGCAGTATACAAAGTCATTCAAACTAGCTGCACCTTTACCAGCTTTGAGAACACTTTCATGATCAATCATTAGAGAGAACATATCAGTGTATATTGGTGCTGGAACTGGGCCAAGTCTGCGCGAATCAGCTCTTTTCTGTCGTGTCTTTCACTACTATGGGTTGATTGAGAATACTGTCTACTTTTTCTTGAGAAGTTTGAGGTGCAGGACTTTCTGGCCAACAGGGAGTATTCCTCAGCTCTGGGGGGTACTCCTAAGCTTTACTCGAAGTACGAAGTCTGGGACGTACTTTTACTTGAGGTGCACGTTGTGAGATGGAGAGTTTACCGGGTAGACAGGATGTTTGCTGGGACACACGGTGCGTGGGGTGTGAGCTTCTTCCAGCCTCTGTCGGGATTTCAAACTGCTTCCATAACACCCTGAGTGTAAGTTTGGCAGCTGTGTGTTTTTTGCTCCGGTTTCCATCTCTGTTGTGAGAATACAAGTCGAGCAGGTTGACCACAGTCGTGATCATTAAAAGTCTCCTTAAGGAACGTTGCGTCAGCTAATGTTGGGGCAGCTTCTGCGTGTGTGCGGGCAAGGAGTGTGCCAGCGGGAGCGTCGTCCCTCGGCAGCCGCATTTGGCGTGTGTTTGGTACAATTCTGTTTTACATACCGGTTTCGACAGCAGCCCTGTCTGTGACGGCGACCAACTCTGTCGTCCAGGGGTGAAGCTGGCCTCCTGTACGCTTCCAGGCCTCCGTCGGTTATGGGCCTTCTGGTACGGCTTCGGTCTCGGGTGCGTCCAGTTTCTTTATGTTCTACCGCCAGAAGTAGCGTCGCGATTGAGTTTTTTGCAGCGGAGCGAAACGTGCATTAAGGTTCTGTGGTCTTTATATTGGCTTTTGGTGTGTGATCAGTTTGTCTTAATTGTTTTAATCCGATCTGGAGTTGACAATGGATAACGTGTATGTCTGATTGTTAATATTGTGTTTTTGTTTTTGTTTTTTATGACATATAGGTACGTGCGAAGGCGGCTGCAGTGTGATCAAATAGTTGATTTTGTGTTGTCTTGGTGCTTTTGTGGGATCCGCGGAAATAGTTTATTGTGTACGCTCTCCTTTATTATTATAGGTCCGTATATGGTTATTAGGTCGGGGCGTCTCTTGGGGTCTGGGTATCGGACTGCTGCTTGTCTTCGCTCGTGTATTGATATGGTTACGTGGTTTTATTTTTGTATATGGCTGTATGGTTGATGTCAGTTGAGTGTGATTGCATGGGAGAGGATATGGGGAAA